TTGTGCACCAGAAAAGGAATGAAAAAGGTAAATATGAAAATTCTACAAGCCTGGCAAAACACCTGAATTTTATGTCCTCGCAAAAAATTGTTTATTTAACTTGGTGAAAATTGGGTGCTAACTTCCCATTGCATAAGTATTCTACAATATTAGGTCTCTTTCTTGGTATCCATGGATTTATTTCCCCAGACTTCTTGGTATTTGAAAGAATGACATTTGAGTTTAACACATGTCTCCATCTGTAAGAATATCCACCTAGCAGCTGGCTTAGTTTTTTCCAGTGTTGCTAAAATGTTTCTAAAGTTTAAGCCAATGTACAATAATAAATATCTAAGACAAAAAGATCATACTGTTTACTTTAAAAAATCCACCCCAATTAAATTTGAACTTCCAATCTTTGTTTTGAAAACTCTGTGTGTAACATAATTATTTCATTTGTAAGTGTACATATTGAAGCATTTGTGTAGTGTAAAATGAAGCAAACAATTAGGTTCAATTTCCTTTGCAGTTCTGCAGTTAACCAACATTAGCCAGTATATGCTAGATTTAGTGTAATTTTAAGCCATTTCTAAGTATCTTCCTGAAGTGTAAAATTTGCTATTGATATTACCTGCTGCATGCTGATATTAATTGTACATTTTGTATGACTTAACTGATCTGCTGTTTAAAGATCTTTTCCCAAAGATGTCATTCCTTTGTTTAGGACATTTTGAAAAAGCATGGAATGTGAACAGTTATGCATAAGGATATAGCATCAATTGCATTGCATAGTAAGCTGACTGCAATTGTGTGTGTGTGTCTGTCTTTCTGTCTTCGACTCTGACTGTCTTTGAGTCAATAATGATTCCTGGCATCTATCTGGACAAGTCTCTGCATTTATACTGACAAGATTTCAGAAGTGGTTTGCCACCGCCTCCTTCCTAGGACTGAGACGCCCAAGGGCACCCAGCTGACTTCATGCCTAAAGCAGAACTACAACACACAGTGTCCCAATTTCTAGCCTGGAACCAACCATTACACCAAACTGCAGTTTCATAAATAGCTGCACTCCTCCTTGGTCCCTTTATTTACAGTATCTATTTTTAGTGCACCTTCATGACCAAGTGGAAGTCCCACTGCACAGGCTGATCACCATTTACTAATTCCTAACTTAAAACATGCATTGCTGACAAAAATTGAAGCCAGCAGCTGATTGCATCTTAATGCAGATTTCCTCAATACAGCATCCTCCAGAGATGTTAAACCTCAGCAATTATAAGGGATGATATTTAACACATGTGGAGGGCCCAGGGTTGCAGAAAACTGTACTAAACTGTACTGTACTAAAATGTAGAAACAGCACAGGTACAGAACAGTACAAGTACAATATGATTCTGCTCATGAAAGACAGGGACAATGGACTTATACACAACGTATTACAAGAAGGTAATAAGATTTTCCAAGATCCTAGTGAGAGCCAAGATCCTAGTGAGATCCTAGTAAGTTTTGTGCAGTAGTTAAAGCATCAAGCTAGAAATGGAGGGGGGGTTATGAGTTCTGGTCTCACTTTAAGCACAATTCAGCTGGGTGACCTTGAGCCCACCCCTCACCCTCCTTCTCCCTCTTTCTCCCTCCCTCTCCCTCCCTCCCTCTCCCTCCTTCAGAAGGAGGCAATGGCAACCAATTTAGGAAAACTTCCCAAGAAAACTGCAGGGACTTGTCCAGAGAACTGCTAAGAGTCAACAATGGCTTGAAGGCACACTCACCCACACCCACACAACATCTTTATTAAGCCTAGTAGCACAAAAGACTGTAATTCTCTCAATACTATAATTTGTTTAAAAATGAGCAGGGCTTTGGTATTCAAGCAATGTTGAGTTCGAGAGCTTTAAAGTCAAAGGCAAGGAAAACAACATATAGCATCAATTGCATTGAAGTATAGTTCCTGAATTCCAATTTAGTGAGAATCGTAGCACAAGAATGTGGTTACTCAGGAATTCCCAATATTTAAGCAAGAAAATTCTCTCCTGAAGTTGAAATTAAAAAAATAAAAATAAGCCAAATCTATGCAGACTTACTCTTTAATGATGAAGAAGTAATAGTGCCAAATACATACAGCTCTTCAGTATAATATAGTGAACTCTATAAAAAAAAACCAATTTGGGAGAAAATATACCAGGGCAAGAAGAGACAAAAGAGCAGAAACTGACAAAGGAATTTGATGTAGAAAACAAAATACACTGAATGTTAATAGCAGCTAGTGCTGATTAAAAATGCTTAGTGATAAGCTACATACTCCTTTCTCCATGGCTTCCACATTCTTATTTTTCCCCAACTAATATGTTTCTCTCAATTTCAGTGATGTGATGTCATTTATTTCATTTTATAGGGGAGAGACATAAATGGTTATTCAAAAGCAGAGACTTCAGTAAAAATGTTGAATGCATTCAGCTTTTGAGAAGAACAGAATTCATACAAATATACAGCAATTCCAAAGTGTATGTGGGTTTGAACATGCCACCTGTTTGATGATTTTCTCCCTAAGAAAATCATGGCCTTGACTTTGCTCTGAGCCCATTTCTGTTCCAAAGGAGCCAAGCAAATCATCATCATCATCATCATCATCATCATCATCATCATCATCATCATCATCCATATACTGTGCTCAGTGGGCTAAATTACTACATTACAGTCATTTAAAAATAATAGTGCACGTTTTGTTTATACCAACAATTCCCCAATAGGCAAAACTTTCCTTTTATTATAGTGGAACTCTGACAACATAAGCTCATAATATTAATTGTCTCGGTTGGTGGAACATTGAATCAAGGGTGACCTTGAATGGAAGCTAAATGGGATTTGACCTGGTTAATAATTGGGTGGGATTCCTTCATGTATTTCAAGGCTGTAGTGTAGATTGGAATTAAAAAAAATAAATCAAGGAGCAAGACAAAACTAACCATTTCTATATTTCTGCCAAGAAACCTGTATGGCCATGATTGGTAAAGTCACCAAGAATCAAGCTCATCAATTTGGATACTTTACATTTTTATTCATTCTATTGGAATATAAATTTAGGATATACATTAAAAATATTTTGCTTAATATACTGAAAAGGTGGCATTTTTATGTATAAACCAGTGAAATTGTAGAGTAACTCTGAAATTGAGTGCTTACAGACAAGATGTCCGTATTGTGTCTCTAAGCAATGTAAGATAAATTCTCAATATATTCCAGTTAACTGTGTAGCATATGAGATTGAAGATGCAAACAGGATTTTCCAGTTGTGCAAACTTTTTCTGTCTATTACACTAAAAAGCAAAACTGGAAATATGAGATTGCTTTAGGCAGATGTACAGTGTTTTTCTCCAGTGCTTCATGAATTGTGGGATTCCACCTACTATAGAATAGAGTGAATTAGCTGTCCCCAGTTATCAGGAGGCTAAATAATCACAGAAATTAAGATATTTCAAATGTATCTTTCAAGAAATATTAACAAACTAAATTACAAGGCATATTAATCAATGTATTATTTTGGAAAATGGAAAACTATTAGAGTCTGCTCAAGTTGCTGTGCAACTGAGGTGGCTGTTCATGTGAATCCTTATTGAGGGGAAGGGGAAAACACTATGCAACCCTGACTTATTCATACGCTGCGATCAACATTACTCCAAACTCACATGACCTGTTCATACAGGAGTTAAATAACTACTCTATTATAATTTGGGTTTCTGATATTTCAGATTCCAGATACAATGCCTGAATATTTCTAAAACCACTAGATATTCTTTCTCATACAAGCACTGATCCTTGATAAATTAAAATGCCACCTAATAGGATAATATAGGATCTTCTGTTCCTAGTACCTCTTCCATCAATTCCACTTTGGAATTATGGCACAGAGTTAGTTGTTAAGAAGAAACACCGTCATTTGCTTATATTAATTAGCTTGCTTAGTTTCTCTGCTCTTGAATTTTTTTCCTAAACTATAAAATTACTTAGTAAGACCATGTAAATAAACAGGCTTAATTGTTTTTCCTTCCTCCCATGTAGGAGATAAATTGGATTGGCTAATTCCTGAATTTCAGATAGGAGACTTATTAGTCAGTTTATTTCTGTGCCAAATCTCCATGTTAATATATCCTTTTTTGGAAATATATGAATCAGAGAATATCGTTATTTTAACTGACAATATTATAATAGCAATAGCCGACTTATATATTGTTTCACAGTGCTTTACAGCCCTCCCTAAGCAGATTAAAGAGTCAGCATATTGTCCCCAACAATCTGGATCCTCATTTTACTGGTCGGAAGGATGGAAGGCTGAGTCAACCTTGAGCCATTCAGAATCAAACTCTTGGAGTGAGCAGTGAGTTAGCCTGCAGTACTGCATACTAACCACTGCGCCACCATGGCTCTTTTAATGATGAAATAATGATGGAACTGGCATCCAAGTCTAGGGGCTGGGTTTTTCAGTCAATTGAAAGTGATGTGATATCGTCTTCATTCCTCTATTGTCTCTAGTCCAAAAGTTTTATTTGTTTCAGTGCTTGATGAAAGATCTCAAATGAAAGACAGGCTCAGGAAATAAGCCACAGGAAAAGTTATTCAATATACCATCCAAAATTTGAGTTATCATCTCTTTTCTTGAAATTATTAAATGGAAAAGGAATTTTTGAGCTCATAGCCACTGATAGTCTAGAAGTTTGAAAGTTGTGCTGAGTATTGATTCCAAAGAAATTCTGTAACTAGTTGGATTTTTATGAAGAAGAATTTGGTAGATGGTATTGCAAAAGTTCTTTGAAGAATAGGGTTCCATATACACTAATATAGATAAAGCTAAACTATATTGTTTTCTGATTGTGCTTCTTACTCTGCATGTTTTCTGTCTTTAATCTTCTATTTTCTCTACTCCTGAAAGAACCTTAATATTATGATTGAACCTTAATGTTATGACTGTCAAATACAATACTGCAATGAATCATTATAATTATATTGACATGCCTGTTTTATTGTTGCAGGAATGCTGATATTGACAGGGTACCTTGCATGGAGAAAGGGAGCAGAGCAATCAGTGCTACTTTACCAGACAACACCAGCTGGTCCACTCGCCACCATATCTGGTCAGACATCAAGAAAACAAAGCCATTTCCCATCATTTCTTTCAGAGGGAAGGCTAAAACCCTAGGGTGCCTTTGGGTCAGGAGACTGTAAGCACATCATGGACCCCTCAAAAGTACTCTCAGCATTCCAATGACCACACCCCCTTCTCCCTAAACCTTTGGTTTTTTGCCGATGGAGGATTTTCCTCTGATTCTAAAGCCACATGGACCAATGTATGTACTTTTTTTCCCCCTCATAGACTTCAAGGTTCAAATATTTGAAGGTGGATGATGAAATTGATCCCCACCCCCCAAAAAAAACCTGCTGTGGTTTTGCTGCTACATGAAGAATTGTGATTTGCATTGTATGGTTTTGGACCTATTCGCGTTGTAATGGGAGGCGGTTGAAGGGGCTATACTGGAGTATTGACACTTCAGCGTCATCTTTATCTCCTACCCATGATGCACTTTTAAATGAAGAGTTATTAGAATATTTTATTGGCTAATATACTTTTTCTGTGTTATTTTTACAAAGGCCACCTTTATCCTTTTTAATGCCATATTTTCAGTGTTACACTTTTCTGGCTTTTAATTTTTTTTTAATTTTGATTTGACAGATGTAAGAAGCAGCATGAATAGTTTATACTGTGGTTTTTCAGAGACTGAATGCCAAGAGAACTCAGTAAATGTTTATTCCTCTCGGTTTTCTCTTTCAATTCCCCTAAAATAGCACCCCTTTTGGGAACAGAGCAAGAGTGTTGAACTAAAGACCAAAAAAAAAAAGGGATCCCCTCAAGGTGTAAAACTATCTGGGGGAAATATTTGCTGGGTGTTATGAAAGATTTGGATGAAATTTCAACCCTGATGGTTTTGCAGTGATCCAGGAAGCCAGTGAGACAATCTCTCCAGATGTAAAGCTCTTTCATGATAATTAGAAAGGTATGGCCAAGCCAATGAAAACACAGGGGTAAAGTGAGAAGCAAGTCCCCATGATTTTGTTTCACTATTTGCTTTCTTCTGTCATGGTTAAAAGAAATGTGCAATCTGATTCTCAATTGGAGGGTGGAGGATAACAGGGTAGGATTTACTTGCGTGCACTTGTATAGTTGTAGCCAAGAATCCAAAAGTACACTAGAGCACTGATTTGGTAAAACAATTGGGAAGTATATCCCATTTTGGACAAAATACTAAGGGGGCGGGAAATTGAGGTGGGGGGAACATTCAAATCACCTTGTGATCCAGTGTAACTGTTTACTAACTTGAATAAAGCAATTGTTCACACAATAGTGATCAGAATGCACCTTCACTATAAGGCTACTGTGCTTAGCAAAGGGGGAAACATTTGGGAAGATTGTGCTTCAAAGAGCTTGGGAGCAGGGTCTTAAATTAAAGCCAATTAAATCAGAACTTTGTAGCGATGGTGCACTGACGGTACTTTGTACATACTGTATTTCTATATTTTTCCTTTGTACAGATTCACTTAAGTCAAGCTACTGTTTTACAGGGGTTCCTTATTTATTAGGTCTGTGAAGGCTTGGAAAATTACACTCAACAAGCAAATTCACTTTGATTTAAAAAAAAAAAAAAAAAAAAGGGGGGGAAAAAAGGGGGGGGGGGGGGGAGGGCCGAGGGCCAGTGGATGGGCTCATGAACCCATGGATTTTCAAAACCTAACAAAGGCAAATTTCTATGGAAAATATGAAGCATTTTTAAGATGCTTCTTGTTGTTCTTTTTTCTTCTCCCTGACTGGTGTCAGATTTATTAAAACAAAATAAATCTCCAAGTAAAAAATGTACTTAATTTTGCTGTTGTTTCCTTTTTAAAATATATATATATATCTCTCTCAGAGCATAGAATATCTTCATTTATTTCAAGAAGTCAATATGATAAAACCAATATGGCAAAAATTAGTGTTAAATTTAAATTTTAAAAAAAAGTTTGGGGGGGATAAAGATGAAAAATAAGCTTTTAAATATACTACACACAGGCTTGGCTCCAAGTAAATAGAAGGATTCAACTGTCTGCCTTAATTGCCGATGTAAAATCCAATGTTCAAATTATTTCTTCATTCTCTGACAGCCATTTGATTTTTTTTTCCTGCCTTTCAGTGACCTTGTATCGAAAATGCTAATAATTCCTCATGTAACATATACACCTGTGGATGCATGTGGTATATTTTTATATCACTCCTGAAAATATTTGCTTTGTAACTTGATAATTATTTTTAAGGAATCTGACAGATACCCAGACATGCTCCTTACTTTATGGACTAACCTTCTGATGAATCCTATACAGAGCCCTTACTGCTGAATGCATAATGCTTACCCTAAGGCAGAATAATCTTATGAAATATAATGGCATAGAAAAATGTTAATTAAGTATAGGAATAATATATTTACATACTATTATAGTCTGTCATACACTCAGCCATATGTTTAGACTCCATTTGGCATTTTTATCCTATCAAGTCCTTCTCAAAACCTGGGAAAAGGCAGATGTTGTTTGATGGCGTTAAAGGTATTTGTTGCAAGATGTAAGCTATTCCAAGTAAAGCTGCCTTTTGCAATTGACTGATGGTGATTTTGTCAATACCATGGAGCTCAAGTGGAGCTCCAGATGTTTTCGGATCCCTCTTAAGATGCTTACTGCTATTGGTGCTTTTTGGGGGGTTACAATTATTTTACTACTACTTGCAGATCTTTGCATTTTGTGATTTTCTCCATTTCTTTCTCTTCTTTTCTGCTTTCTCCAGGTACTATCACATCCACTATCCAGAATTTTTGGAGGCCATGTAATAGAAGAGATAAATCACAAAATAAATTATTAGTATTATTGGAAATCAAATGAATTGGTTTCAAAGAATTCTAGCTCTGAATCCACATCTTTATTCCTGGAAATTCTTCTCAAGACCATCCATTTTTTTCTTTGTTCAAAAAGCACCATAATTTTTTGTTCAAAATACATTTGATAGCAAATTGGTCTCTGTATTATAATAGAGTGCAATTTGCATCCTTAGCACAGCCATGTTTATTGTACATTGTATCCCTTACCCCAGTGTGAAACCTGACAAGAGGAAATTTAAGTTGTAAATGGCCCATGCTATACAAGGACAAACCACCTTAGCAATTTTGACTTGGATGGTCACATCCATAGGTGTATTTTTAAAGAACTCATAGAAAGAGAAATTAACAAAGATCTTCTCCATGCAACTATGTGTTCCCTAGTTCTGAAAAGGAGAGGGGGACTGAAGAATTAAAAATCTATTTTATAAAGTGGAGTCCCCTCTGAACAAAAATCTGACTATATCTTTAAAAATATTTACATTCTCATAGGTAAAATGAGATAACTTAAGAACATACCACCTTATTCCTTAAGCAAATTGCTAGTAAAATCTATGGTGGGAGCCACTGCTTCTTCCATGTATATTTCTGGATAGCTTGGAAACTGGAAATATCTGCTGCCTGATGTTCTTTAGGACAGTTAGACTGCCCCTAAGCTTAGTCTTTCAGTTCCTGAGCCCTGGAATGATATATTAATAGTTGTTAGCTCGTTATAACTTTCATTAAGTATGCACAGTATTTCACGCAGTTGGTTCCAGTCTTATCCCTTGGCCTGGATCTTAAAGAAGCTGGAGTACTTCCCAGCTAAAGCATCATGGCAAAGGAAACACCAGTTTGTCCATCAGCCAAAAAGGAAATTCTGGAACAGGAGAGTTGAAGGTCAACTTCTGGCCTTATTCATTTCCTAAGACAATAAAAACTACCGGAATAGCAAACCAGAGAAGTTATCTCAGGCTCCAATATTTGTGTCCCTTTCACCTCCCTAGTCCCTTTACTTTCACATTTTAACTGATTTGTTTAATGCATATATAGCAAAAATAGTCAAGCTGTACAACACATATAGCAAAAATAAAAGTCAAGATAAAATATTAATATTAAAAGATGGGCATTCAACAATCAAAACCTCAACAAGTTAGAAAGGTATGCATTGTAGCAATCTTTTGTCTTACATTGTCTATCCCACCCACAAGTTTGTTACTTCAAGCATAAAGTAAGGTTTAAAAATTAAAATATTGGTGTTGGTTTTATATTTCTACCTGCATGTTTGAGAGAGAATATTTATGACCGGAATCGTTCAAGAAAATTGAAAGAAAAGTTACAGCAAAAAATTGGCAAAGCCCAAAGGCCTTTTTTGTATATCATTAATATTGAGTGGATGGCTGCATGTTTCAAGTCAAAATAGATTGTACTTTAGTTAGATCCGTCTGCAATTCTTTTGAGGAAAGTGACATTCCAAATATTCAAAGGCAGATCAAAGTCACATTTCTATAGATTAGGTAGAGTTGTAGTCACAAAGACCCTGCAAGACTGACCACCACCTGCTTCTGTGGACAGCATGGTCCTTACAGAAAATATTGTCGAATTAAAGTATGAAAAATAAAATCAAACATTTATGGAAATATTATTCATAAAATGCATAAAAATTATGTATGCAAACATGACCTTTTGGCCCGGCTACAGAAGGCTTATATGATTACCAAGTTGGGGGTTAATAAGTGGTTTACAGAGTCAGCATATTGCCCACAAAAATTTAGGTCTTCATTTTACTGATCTCAGAAGAATGGAAGGCTGAATCAACCACAAGCCGGACAGGATCGAACTGCTGGCAGTTGGCAGAATTAGCCTGCAACACTGCATTATTTTTGCTGGGCTCAGTTATCAAATTCCCAATCTTTTCACATTCTCTTTCACCAGCAGATAACAAGATTTGAAACATGGCTTGGTTTCAGAGAATTAGGAAGCCACGCATACTAAGAAGTTCTGTTTCTGTCAACTCATAGAAAATTTCATACATGCACGTGCACACAAACATAAACTTACTTAAATCTTGGTCCTCTTCTTTTTAAGTTAATGAAATGTTGCCTGCTTTTTCTTGGCCTTGAAACTCTCTACCAATAATGACAGAATAACAACAGAATAACAGAATTGAAAGGGACATTGGAGGTCTTCTAATCCAGCCCCATGCTCAAGTAGGAGACTCCATACCATTTCAACAAATGATTTTGCAATCTCTTCTTAAAAACCTCCAACGTTGAAGTACCTACAACTTCTGGAGGCAAATTGTTCCACTGATTGTTTTAACTGTCAGGAAATTCCTCCTGAGCTCTAGGTTGCTTCTGTCCTTGATTAGCTTCCACCAGTGGCTTCTTGTCCTGCCTTCAGGTGCTTTGGATAATAGTTTGGCTCTCTCTTCTTTTTGGCAGCCCCTGAGACATTGGATCACTGCTATCCTGTCATCTCTAGTCCT